ATGAATTTGGCAGTGTTCCTTCCCTTTCTATTTTGTGGAAAAGTTTAAGGAGTGTTGGCATTAGTTCATTAGCTCTGTTAGAATTCAGTGGTTAATCCATCTTTTCTTTTTTGGGAGACTCTTTATTGCTGCTTTAATTCCATTGTGTGTAATAGATCTGGTTAGGTGATTTATGTCCTGCTGGTTCAATTTTAGATGGTCAAATATATCTAGAAATTTGCCCATTTCTTCTAGATATTCCAATTTATTTGAATATAGGTTTTCAAAGTAGTCTCTGATGATTCCTGGATTTCCTTGGTGTTTGTTGTTATCTCCCCTTTTTCATTTGTAATTTTATTAATTTGGGTCTTCTCCCTCCTCATTTTAGTGAGATTTGCTGATTCTTTGTATGGTTATTTTGGTCTGTATTTCATTGATTTGGGCCCTTATTTTTATAATTTCTCTTCTTCTGCTAGTTTTGGGTTTAGCTTCTTCTTGTTTTTCTAGGAGTTTGAGGTACAGCATTAGGTCATTTATTTGAGATCTTCTGTGTTTTTAATATATGCACTAATGGATATAAACTTTCCCTTAGGACTGCCTTTGCTCTGTCTCATAGGTTCTGATAGGATGTGCTTTCATTCTCATTAAGTTCCAGGAAATTTTTTATTTTGCTAACGAATCTCAAGCTGAGATACAGGACACTGAGGCAGTTCAGCAGGAAGCAACATTTTTCTGTGCCGACACAGACCCAGCAGACTCTGTCCAAAGGCTGAGCCCGAGAACCAAGAGAGCAAAGCTCAACCCACTTATAGCTGCATGTGACTTTATTGGCTATTTCATTTCCCTAGTGCTATGTGACCTTCTTGATGTTTCAATTCTTTGTTTTATCTCTCTGCTTTGCCATCCCTTCTCCCCTGCCTCATTATCAGAACAGTCCTGTCTGTTTTCTCTTCTGGCCCTCTTCCTGCTACATCATTCCCTTTTTGATGCTCACCCACCTAGGGTCAAAGAGCATCATCTTGATCTATGGGTCTGTATTTTATAGCATCATTATATGGGCAGCTATTTTTCTTTATAGTGGCCTCTATAATGGTCCTGATAGACCACAGTACCAGGGGGACCAGGCAGGGTAATATTAAGCATGCTTCTAGGATAAGACCCATCACCGCTTTATGACATAATGTGGTCTTATTGTTTCCTTTACTCTGGGACTTTTAGTATCACTTACCAACAGCCTCATTAATCTGGGCATATATGAGCAGATGTAATCTCGGACCCTGTTGGTGAGTGCATGATACAAGTGTGGCTCTCTAAACATTTAGTGTTAGGTCAATGCAGATGGGAAGGTCAAATTGGAGCCAAATAATAACTGCAACAGGCTTAAAGCAAGCTTTATTGAGAGCGCACTCTCAGGTGAGGTTCACCATCCCAAAGAGCAGGATCAGAAGTGGTGCCTGAGAAATGGCAGCCCAATTTTTATAGCTGGGTGAAGTAAATTGCTTAAGATATTATGGGGCGTCAGGATAGGTTGAGGTTTGGTGGGGAGGAGCTTAGGGTAATATGGATCTGTAGGATAGGTCACGACCCATGTGCCCAACAGGAGTTGCCTATGGTAAATTAGAAGAGGGGAAGGGAAGGCGGTAGGTGAAACGGGAAGTCTGCATGGGAAGTTTGCCAGTTATCCATGAAGCCCTCTAATCAGTGCAAGGAGTTTGCAGTGGTAACCAATGCAAAGAAGGTAACATGAAAGGTGTGGAAAGTGGAAAAATCGAGTGGATAGAGTCCCTGATTGCCATGGTGGGCTGGTCCACTGGGCCAAACATTTAGTAACATTGAAAAACTTGTACAGGGCCTCCCCAAAAGTTAAGAGTCCAAGTGTGTAGAGGAGAGCAAGACGCGTGTCGTCCATGTTTTGGAGCTTCCTCTTGTGCAGCCTAGTCGCTTCAGAGTACTAGAAGAGGGGCCTTGGCCTGTTGTTTTGTGGTCCCTTGTTGTTTTCTGGGAAGTGGAGTCCTGCTGAGGAAGAGCACAGGCATTCTGGGGTGATCTTGGATGGCGAGGCTGAGTCAGGTTGCAACTCCACTCAGGAGAAAGCTGGCTTTACTTTGGCTGTGGTGGATCCAGGGAGCAATTTTTGTTAACTTACTGTAGTGGGGATAGACAAGATATTAACAAAAGGGGCCTCTCATAATAGAGTTTTTAATGGTTGGACATTTTATTCTTTGTACCAGACAGTACCTTTTGAGTTAACGTTTTTTTTTGAGTCGAATTACCATGGCGAAAAATATTTATCAATATATATGGCTAAGAAGAACTCGATTGTTTAAAAAAAATTAAAAATTTCCAACTTTAAGTATCAAAGGACATGGTTTTTAGAGCCTAAGTAAAAATAGTCATTTTGTCTTTAAGTAATCAGATGTCTAGAAAAGCATCAAGTTTGTGTCTAGAAGGGCTTTAATGCCAGGTGGCGCTGCATGTTAAGAACCACTTCCTCAATTGTCCCGAGCCTTGGTTTATTTGTTGAGAGGTCTGGCACCAGTGACTCATTTGAAGTCCATTCCCCCGTGTGTCTCCAAACTGCTTGTTCCAAGCCACTCTCTTCTGGAAGATCTGTCTTCCATCCAAGTACTACGCACGACCAACACAGTTTAAACTGCCGAAAATCAGCCATGAGATGGGCATTTCAGGGTGGTATGGACATAGATTGAAGATCTTTCTTGATTGTTCATTTTCTTTTATCATGAGGATTTCTTTTACCTGGATTTTGTTTGTTGGTTTGTCCTCACATTGGGGTGAGGAAATGAAGTAGATCAGGTGGGAGTCAGTGCAGTTAGAGCCCTTTTGGCCCCATTGTAAGCAACAAAGAGGACTTAAAGGGAATGGCTCCTTTGGCACTGGGCTTTTAAACAAGGACAAAGATCCAATAAAAGTAAACATCTAAAGAGTCTCCACCTGGTTGACACAATAAGCACTTATAAGAGTCATTTTTTTTTTTATTATTCATATGTGCATACAAGGCTTGGGTCATTTCTTCCCCCTGCCCCCACCCCTCCCTTACCACCCACTCCACCTCCCTCTCCCCCCACCCCTCAATACCCAGCAGAAACTATTTTGCCCTTATTTCTAATTTTGTTGTAAGAGAGTATAAGCAATAATAGGAAGGAACAAGGGTTTTTGCTGGTTGAGATAAGGATAGCTATACAGGGAGTTGACTCACATTAATTTCCTGTGTGTGTGTTACCTTCTAGGTTAATTCTTTTTGATCTAACCTTTTCTCTAGTTCCTGGTCCCCTTTTCCTATTGGCCTCAGTTGCTTTTAAGGTATCTGCTTTAGTTTCTCTGCGTTAAGGGCAACAAATGCTAGCTAATTTTTTAGGTGTCTTACCTATCCTCACCCTCCCTTGTGTTGCTCTCGCTTTTATCATGTGCTAAGTCCAATCCCCTTGTTGTGTTTGCCCTTGATCTAATGTCCACATATGAGGGAGAACATACGATTTTTGGTCTTTTGGCCAGGCTAACCTCACAGTGAATGTTCTCAATTCCATCCATTTACCAGCGAATGATAACATTTTCATTCTCTTCATGGCTGCATAAAATTCCATTGTTATAGATACCACATTTTCTTAATCCATTCGTCAGTGGGGATCTTGGCTGTTTCCATACTTGGCTATTGTGAAAGTGCCGCATATAAACATGGTGTGCAGGTGCCTCTGGAGTAACCTGTGTCACCAGTCTTTTGGGTATATCCCCAAGAGTGGTATTGCTGGATCAAATGGTAGATCAATGTTTATGGCTTTTTAAGTAGCGCTCCAAACTTTTTTTCCAGAGTTGGTTTGTTACTATGTTTAGCGATTCCCACCGGAATCAGTGTAAGGAGGGTTCCTTTTTCCCCGCCATCCTCACACACCTGTTGTTGGTGTGTTGCTCACTCATTGGCTATCTAAACAGGGTGAAGTGGAATTTCTTAGTGTAGTTTTTAATTTTGCATTTTCTTTTCTTGCTACGAGGTGAGAATTTTTTCATGTGTTTTTGGGCCATTTGAATTTCTTCTTTTGAGATA